GTATGTGAACTGACACTATCAGGTATAGACTGACCTAATGTATTGAGATAATTGTCACTAATGTACACACATGCACACACTAACATTAACATTGACTAATAAAGTTTTTTACCTATATATTCCAGAAGTTTAGTTTTTGCTTGGCCCAGTTGATCAGGAAAGTCATTACACAGTTTTATTAATGTATCCCAATTGATGTTTTTGTTGGCATCAAACCACTTCTTGAATACCAAAATAAGATTGTTTTCTGCTGTTCCTGGTATTGGTGTTAGATCAGTTGCGTTTACACCCAATCCAGTCCCTATTAGCATGTAATGGTGAGCAGAAGAACCAAATATTCATGTGACTGCATCTAAATTAAGCTCCTTGTCTATAATAAAGGATTCATAAATAATAAAATACAAAAGAGTAATACTTATAATTTTCACCTATAAAGAAGAACATGTTTTTCTTTCATAGAACCAGAAATTTTTTCAGATACTGCTATGCTATACCAATATTTTGTTGTTGTTTTGATGATCTTGGAGAATAAAGTAACAGCAAGTGATTGTGGTTTCCTTCACTGTTTCATGTACAGTACAAACAATCGAAAACTCAGTTTTTGAAATTTGAACTTAAAATTAATTACTAGTAGCCAATAATATCTTCAGGCCTATCAGTCATTACAAGGTGAATTCACAATATTGTATGTGTGACCATAAGTGCTATAATAACAGAATAGCTAGCGTTTTATTCTTGCATTTACTATTGTATTATACAGCACTGGTTGCAAGACAACATTTTGAGCTGACCTTAATACTGACACGTGCACAATAGTTGTGAGCACAAAATGGCCATAACTTAAAATTTGACGTCAGAATAAGATCAAGCTTTCTACACAGCATAAAAACATCAATATGTATCAGAAAATAAAATATATTTCTGGAATGATACATGCATCAAATGATCAAAATTTCAGTTTTTTAAATTCAAACTTAAAAATTAATTTTTCTGCACACGCACACACAAAAAGAAAAAATAAATCATTATAATGTACATGTACTTTTAAACTTGGCATGTAACAATAAAAAATTTGTTTTATAGTGAGTAGTTGTACTAATAATGTGCCAATAAACCTAGTAAGACAGAGCTAGCTAAGCTAATAATATGGTAATTATTTAAGCAACAAAAGCTAGTGTATATATTGTAATCACAAAAATTCTACTCTTAATTAAATTTAATGTCATTATTCTTGTGTTTCTTTTTCTCACTTTGCCTGACTCACTATATAAAGTAAAGATACAATAAAGCGCATAAACATAAAAATGTATAAATAGTACATAAAGCGAACAAAGTTAGAACTAATAATTATGAGTAATAAAAGCAATTTTAGGAGTACAATGCATGTTATGCATGCTAATTGTACCTTCAGTTTGGCAACTGTTGAGTATCTGAACTGGCACTATCAGGAGACTGACCTAATGTATTGAGATAACTTTTACTGACGTGTACACACACACACATTTACAATATTAAGTTTCTTACCTATATATTTCAGAAGTTCAGACTTTGCTTTGCCCAGTTCATCAGGATAATTATCACAAAGTTTTATTAATGTATTCCAACTGATGTTTCTGTTGGCTTCAAACCACCTCTGGAATACATATCTGGAATTGATATCTGCTGTTCCTGGTATTGGCATCAGATCAGCCGTCCTTACACCCAATCCATTCCCTATTAGCATGTAATGGTGAGCAGAAGAACCAAATATTCGTGTGACTGCATCTAAATTAAGCTCCTTGTCTATAATAAAGGATTCATAAATAATAAAATACAAAAGAGTAATGTTTATAATTTTCACCTCCACTAAGAACATGTTTTTGTTTCATAGTACCAGAAATTTTTTCAGATGCTGCTATGCTATACCAATATTTAATACAACAATTGTGATTACTAGATATTACTTACTTTACATCAGTTTCTTCTGTTCCAATGCCATTTGTGAAATCTCTTTTATCTGTTATAAAATTATAAACTAAATACACAAAATAACACCTTGTATATATATCCTTTGGAATACGTGCAAAAGTGTATGAGGTATCATAAAGCTTGCAAGTTAGACATGATTCATCATACATACTCACCTTCCAGGGTACTATTTGGCTTATCTATAAACCAGGACCAATATTTATAACATTGAGGATCTGATAATTTCCAATAACCAGTAGTGTCACACTTGATAAACACCTCATTAGTA